CCCTCCAAGTAGTAGGTGAGGGGCTGCACATACCAGCGACCTGCGGGAAAGCAGCGGTCAGTGCCCCCCCGGTACGGCACAGCAGGCACCGCACCAGCATAGCCTCCTCGCAGGATGCTGCCACAGCCCTGCACAGTTCAGCGGAGCCTGTGGCACCACCATCCTCAAAGCCCGTAACAGCCAGGTGCCCCAGCAGGAGGCAGTAGCCTCAGCAAACAGCAGCTGTGTGCCACAGCTCACCCGCAGGTTGAAGGGCAAAGAGTGGCTGGGACAATTCCCATCCCCTGCACCAGCACCACTGGCCTGGCACAGCATCAGACAGGCTACGAAGGGGAGAGGGCCCAGGGGATCAGCAATGCCCTTGCCTATCTCGCTCCTAGGGCACGGAGAGCCTGGGCCTCCCACCAGTACCCCACGGCCAAGGGCAGCCCTGCAGGGCACAGGACGTACCAGCCCTGACCCAGACGCTGCAAAGAAGGGTAAAGAGACAGGCAGAGACCCCGCTAGGACTCAAGCCTACCTCACCAGCTCTGCTAATCCCCTGTACTGCCCTTATTGCCCGTCTGCTCCTTACCTGCCCAGGGCTGACCACTGTGGGAACTGGCCCGGACCAGGCGGACAGTGTTGGTGCCCAGGCTGCGGCTTCGGCGGGGTCAAGCAGCATTCCGGTACAGGTTCAGCATGTAGCGCAGTGGCTGCCCACTTGCTGGCCCCGCTTGCCAGCCCCGGCTGCCTGGTGCCTGCGTTTGCAGGGCCTGCAGGAGGGGCAGTGGCGGGATGGCAGGCAGGGAGCTGGGGGGCAGTGGGGACTGGTTTGCAGCCCAGGAAAGAGGCACAGCAAGGAAGAGGAGGAGGCTGGTTAAGGGATGAAGCAAAGCCATGATAGGTATCGTGGGGGTGGGTGAGCAGGGCAAGGTGAGGCTGGCTGGCAGCAGGGTTAGGGGGAGCCTGCAGTCATGCTTCTCCCCCTAGAGAGGCAGAGCTGGTCGCAGGCACCAGCAAAAGGAGACCCCAGGGTGCTGCCAGCTGCTATCAATTCAGGACAACCATGCTAGCAGCTTCAGCTTAGCACAGGAACAGAAAGGTGAGGGGGCTCTGTATGCAAATAGGGGTGCAAATTCTAGGCTAAAACCCAGTCTAGGGACAACACCAGCCAGGAGCCTGGCTACAAAGGTCTGTAAAAGTGCCAGGGCAAGAGAGTAGGGTGGAGGGAGGAGTGAAGTGGGATGGGTGGGGAGGACCAGCTCGCTCAGCCCACCTGCTCCTAGCCGGCCTCCTCCTGCGGGGTAAGAGGTCCCAGCCCCCCGGGGCCCATTTTAAAGGCATGGACCCAATCAGGGTTTAAAGGGCCAGAAGCCCCACGGGAGGGGGGCTGGAGCCTGAGAGGTGCTCCGCTGCCGTGAGAGCCCCTCCAGTTCCCCCCTGCCCCATGCCGACTCTTCAGCAGGGGGGTCAGCACCTTTGTGTCCATTGCTGCAAGCTGGTACACTCTGCCCAGAGCAGGCACAGAGCCTGGGGTCTGCTTGCAGACCATCCCTGTGGCACAACCAGGCTGCCCAGTACGTCACTTTCCCCAGCTGAGAGATGGGCATCTAGACCAGGAACTGTGGCACTGAGGCACACAGGTGGGCAGAGTGACCCACAGCCCGGCGGTGCTGAGCGCGGCTGGGTCAGCCAGTGGTACCCACGCTGCAGGCATCACTATGCCTGCAGCTTCGCTGGGCTTGGCAGTCTCGGCTCTGAGGTCTTTCTGCCAGCACCTGCCCAAGGCTGAGGGGTTGCAAGGGTGATGCCCACCCTCTCGCTGGCACGTATCATTTGAGGCATTGCCCCTACAGAGGACAGTGCCTCCCAGCCCCAGAGCCACTGTGTGGCTCTGTAGGGCTCGCCTGAGGCAGGCTCTGTGGGTGCACCACAGAGACGAGTGCAGGCAGCCGCAGCCCAGGCTCCTGGCACAACGCCTGGCACAGTGCCCAGCCCCGTAGGACACTGCTGCTTTTCTGCTGGGATGGAGGGGGCTGGGAGGGGTGGACACTCTGGTTAGGAACCACTGATACAGGCAGAGGGACATGGAGGGAGCTGGGGACTGTGTTGGTGCCTGCCTTGCCCTGGGTGGTTGGGGAGTGTTTTGTGTTGGTGCCTGCCTTGCCCTGGGTGGTTGGGGAGTGTGTTGTGTTGGTGCCTGCCTTGGCCTCAGTGCTGCCCACCCTTCCTGGTGCCAGCTGGGCACAGCGATAAGGGTCAGGAGGGTCATATGGGGAGGTTGCTGGGGTGGGGGGGATGCTTAATGGGGTGTGGGGCCATGTGACAAGCCAGGGCACAGAGCCCTCACGCCTGGCCAGGCAGCTCTGGTTACTCATTTGGGAAAGGGCATGGGGGGCAGCCAAGCCTGG